GGTAAAGAGAGGAACCAATCCACCAGGTCCAGGGCTTGAACCACAGTCAGCCATGTGGGAGTTCAGCATCTTAACTACCACACCACCTGCTGGCCTCAAAACCTGATTTCTTAACCACTTGAAATGTGAAACTTCACAGTTTTTGCCTTAAAATTTAAGAAATGATTAGTGAAAGATATATAAGACCTTTCTGTAATACTTTTGCAATTTCCTGACAGTCTGTAGTTATTTCAAAATAAAGTTGAAAAATTCAAGGAATGGTAAAGTTTTGGTTCCCTCTTCTTACTGCCTTTAGCCCTGCTTGGTAATTCTGACTGGCAGAGCCACTGTGGGTAGAAGGGGAGCCATATATATGATAGACCCAGAGCCAGACAGTGGTTTGGAATCCTGCGTGTGTTGTGTTTTATAATTTGGGCGTAACATCAAACTCTAAAATTATTGCAAAAATTAAAAGCTGAATAAGGAACTCCATATGCCCTTTCCCAAATGCACCCGTGGCTAACATTTTACGCAGTGAATGGCAGATTTTGACACATTCTAGTTTGTGACCACAGCTATTACCCTCTTTTCATCCTCTTTCTGATTATCAGCACCATAGTCTCCTGGCATCTGGGCATTTACTCAACCGAAGAAAAATATTTACACCTTGTTTTCAAACTTCCCAAGAGCCTGCGGTGCTTCTCTTTCTCAAGACTGCATTCAAACATACGGCCCCGCAGCTGTGGTACAGTGGTAATACAGGTGTCTTGGAAGACTGGAAGCCATATGGTAGCCATGGTTCAGATCCTCAGGTTGGCCTGAAAACATATTGGGTTGTGTGTGGATACCCAGAATCCTGGCAGGCTAGAGGAATGGAGGAGGGGAATCACGGTGTGATCGAGCCCAGTAGAGGGTGCATCTCTCTCGTGTCCTTGTCTCCACCTTTCATGTGTGTGCCCATGTACGCACACACGTGAATTCTGTCATTAAAAAAATTTAAATACATAGCCTTTAAAGGTTTTGATCAATTTATTCCCTGCTCCTGAGCTAAAATATTGATCTTCCTCCCTTGCTCCCCAGCCCAACCTCCCAGCTGTCCCTAACCTAATTATTAAATGTCTCTCTTATGCAGCTGACATTTCTCATTTCAGTGCCTTTCCATATGATCGTGTTTCAAATCTGTGATGTATTCATTCTCCTTTATCAGTGGTTTTGTGATTTTAGTTATCCATGGTCAACTGTGGTCCTAGTTTTTAAAAAATATATATAATGTATTTTTTCTTTCTTCATGGTAGAGTGCACATGCACAGGAGGGTGAGAGGGTGAACACCCTCCACAGGGTCTGGTCACACCATGATCCCTTTCCTCTAGTCCACCAGCCCATTGGATCTTGGGCACTCATATACACACCTGGTGTGCCTTAGGTCGACCGGGGCAGGGATTTGAACTGTAGCCATGTGGGTTCTGGCTTCTCTAGCAGTGCATTACTGCCACATCATGACACTCACTTGGTCCTAAAATATCAAATGGAAAATTGGAGAACTGAACAACTCACAAGTTTTAAATTGCATGTTGTTCTGAGAAGTGTGATGCAACTTTGTGCTGTCCCACTTCAAGTAGTCTAGGAAGTGAATCTTTCTTTTGTCCATTGTGTGCATGTTGTGTATGGTGCCGTTAGTCACTTAGTAGCCCTCCCAGTTACTGGTCGCAAAAAGAGTATATGGAAAGTTCAGAACTGTCTGTGGGTTCAAGCATCTGCTGGAGGTCTTGGAGTGCATCCCTCATAGGTAAGAGGAGCCACTGTATTCTTTTCTCTGCATCTCTCTTCCTTCTAAGTCAATAGGTTACTTATTTCCAAGAGGTTATTCCCAGACTTCTTATCTTGATTTGGCACACCTGTCCTGAGTTTCATTACTTCTCTAGGGGTTTTTGCCCTCTTGTAGATGCTGTTGTTCAATATCCATCTGTCTCCTTGAGCCCTCAGTGGATGGCACTAGTGCCATCTTTTATAGACCTCCACAGACCTTGTGTAGTTGTGCCGAAGGCATGACCTGGCTTAGAATGACTTACTGTGAGTGAAATTTGATTTTATTATTAGAATCTTCCATCAGTCTATAAAGCGAAATTCAAATTTTATTAATGCTTTTAACACCATTTTCCTCTGGGGGATGTGGCACCCTTCACTGGTGGGCTTTCCTCAGGGCAGAGAGGAGATGGACCTACTCATTTACTAAAATGGACCTACTCATTTACTCATTGGCTAAAATCCTATATTATGCTGGTAGGGCAGGACCCTTCAGTGTTTGAAGAGTGTGGGTCTGGGAACCTAGTAACTAATGGAGAAGAAGTTCAGAGTTTCTGAGAATCAAGACCTTGGAGGATTACCAGTGTAGAGAAAGAATCTTGACTTTCTTATTCATTTATTTAAGTGAAACTAAGGCCAGAGCTAGTTCATTATCTATGATGTCAATATTGATTTTTGTTTGCAAGGTAGAGTATTAACAGATTAGAATGGCTGCTGGCAATTCTTAGCTGCCTTGTTGAATTTAAATGAGTCAAGGGATAGCTATTAAGATATATAGGAGGTCCAGTTCATAGCCTAGTGGTTAAGGAAGCGGGCTCCTACGTGGCCGACTGTGGTTTGAGACCCAGCCCTGGCAGCTTGAAAAACACACTGAGCACATGTGTATGTGTGCCTCGAATCCTGGTAAGATAAAGAAGGATCGTGGCGTGACCATATTCCATTGGGGGGTGCTTTCTCCTTATTCTTCTTTCTCTTTGTCTCTCTCTGTCTCTCTGGCTAGTGCATATGCCCTCTGGCAATTAAAAATATAAAATTAGGGCCTATCAGGTGGTGTGGTGGTTAAGGGTACTGGACTTCCACATTGCCAACCTGGTTCGAGTCTGGACCTGGTGGCTATATAATTAAATTAAAGGTGTACTTGGGATTTGGGGGCTAAATCAGACCTTTCTACTGTGGTTGGCTTTGACCAGATTCTCTGTTTCCTCTAGCCTCAAGACAGAAAAATAGTCTTGCTGCCTCTTGTTCCCTTTTTACAAAGCCAAATCCTATTTTAAAAATGCATAGATAAGAGGTGTTAAGACATCCTTCGGGATAGCATGCAGCTTGCCTTTTTTCCTTTGCTAAGAGAAGTTTTTGAATTGAAACTGTTGACTGACACAGTCCAAGCTAGCAGATGGCACTCATACATCAAATGTCCAAATGCAGGCTTGTTCAGAGGCAGCAGACACCTAACAGGCTGTATTTACAAAGACAAAGAATTTTAATAATGACCTTGAAGGTTTAGGGACACTTCTGAGAAGTGAGGCATATTCAAACCAGACTAGCTTCATATTTTTATTTATTTAT